AGCCAATTTCACACTTGACCTACGGCGGAGCTGCAGCTAACCCAGTAAAATGTCGATATCTCAAGGACGAAAGCCCGAAAAACCAAACCATTCATTGTAGGGTTTTCTATTATTTACTAGTACTCATCAAATAAATATCGTCTCGGTTGAGAAACGATCCCACACCTGCAGAAATTCTCTCGTAAGTTTGCGAAGAAAGCCAAAGTTTGACTAATCTTCATTTTCAAGAAAACTCTTTGTCTTAGAATGATTCTTATGTTCATAAATACGCTTTTTATTTTATTTTTAATAGTTAAATGAAATATCATTACCATTTCGTGGTAATGCTGGTTCCATGGCAGCTATATCACTTGCTGAAACATCTTCATCCGATGATACAAGTGTAGTCAGTACACAAACACAAATTAATTCAATAACAACAACAACAACAACAACTGATTCATCAACAATATCAAATGGTGATGGAACATTAACAAGTCAACAAGATACAAAACAAATATATAATTTAGAAGATAGATTTGAATTAAATTATAAACGTTTACGTGATGATTTAAAAAAAATAAGTTATGAACAAGTTGATAAAGAAGAAAAATTATTAATTAAACAAATGTCTGATATTGAAATTCAATTACAAAAACATTTACCACAAACATCAACAATAGATGCACGTTCACGTGAAGTTAAAACAACATTTGAATTAACAAACGCTGAATTTGAACGTGCACGTAATGCAGCTAAACGTGCACGACAAGCTTTTGAAAAAGTTAAAAAAGAACGTTATGATCGTTTTAATGCACTTTATGAACATGTATCATCATGTATTGATGATATTTATAAATCATTAACTAATTCACAAGCTGCTGTTGCTTGTTTAACAGCTGAAGATGCTGAAGAACCATATCGTGCTGGAATAACATATAATTGTGTTGCACCTGGTAAACGTTTTCAAGCTATGGAAAATTTATCTGGTGGTGAAAAAACTGTTGCAGCTATTTGTCTTTTATTTGCTTTACGAAGGTTTGTTTACGTCTAAAAATGAAAAAAGAAAAAGTGAGATTGACAATAAGAAGTATTATTAAACGATTCTATAATTAGAAAATATGAGAAATAATAACTTGAAAGATGTACGTGATCTTAAATTAATGTTTAGAAAAAGATCAAACTTTTTCGAAATAAATTGTTATTATTTGATAGTCAATCATAGAATCATCTTGATATGAAAAAAAATTTAATATCTAATAGACAATGTACAAAATTCATTTAATTTATTTTTAAGCTTTAAACCAGCTCCATTCTTTTTACTCGATGAAGTTGATGCTGCTCTTGATAATACAAATATTGGTAAAGTAGCTGATTTTATTCGTGAACAATCAGCATCAGAATTTCAATGTATTGTTATATCATTAAAAGAACAATTTTTTTCACGTGCTGATGCACTTGTTGGCATTTATCCTGAAGTAAATTTTATTTCATTATTTAATTAAATAAACTTTCGTTTTATTTTTAGCCCGGCGATTGCATAACTAGTCATTGTCTTACATTAGATTTAAATCAATTCGACGAACGAGAAAATATTGCAAATACTCGTAGCTGAAAAGACATGTGGTTTTTTTTTGTCGATCTTTTGTATATATTTCTTTATAAATATATATGGATGAAAGGAATAATTTGAAAATAAAAAATGAAATATGTCATTAGGGGATAAGACTTTTTTTTTTATTTCTTTACACAAGAACGAAAAGAATAAGTTTTTTTTTTTTCTATTTCATTTGTCATATTAAATGACATTGATGTTGTTCTTCTTTTGTTACAAAGTTATGCTCATACATTTTTTTTTCTATTTACTTACATTTAAAACGATAGTAAAAAGAAAATTTTGATTTTATTTTAACAATCAAACTTATGGATGAATTTATACGACAACTAACTCATGATAATAAACAATTTGAAAATCAATGGCCAGACATATATGATAAGTTGAAGAAATTATTGGATGCTAATCCAAAAACCGATCTAGTTATTGTCAAGGTTAAATCATTAGATGCTCTTGTTGATTATATTCTAGCTGATACAGAAGAAAACATTCATACAAAAATAGGATTTCTTGAAATAACAATTACACAATGTACTGATGATCCAAAACCATCATTAAATGAATTAGTACGAATATTTTGTCGTGTATTAGATATATCAAATACAAATAATTTATTTAATTTAACATTTCTTGAAAAATTTTATTATAAAGCTCGACTTGGTGAAGAATTATCAAAAAATCTATCCGTCGATTTAATTGATACAATATTTAATTGTTTACAAAAACATGAATTTTTAGATAAGAATTTGAATACTGAAACACAACAAACCTGGGAACATTTTTTATCACGAGGCGTTTTTTCACCATTATCTTGTGATATAAACAAATTGAATTATGAAGATACGATGCCTAATATGAGAAGTAGTTTTCAACATTTGTACAGGTAATTTTGCAATTGCAGTTTTGCTTTGCTCGTTCGGTATTGCAAAAGAACTGTCAAGAATTATTAACATCTTTAGTCTATCTTTACAAAAATTCAGCTATTTTCTTGACATGGCATATTCTAATATCTCATCTGATATAATAATCGTATATCTATTAGAAGGAAGAAGTTTACCTTCTATTTTATGATTATTTTAATGTATTTATTACTTCCAATGAACAATCGATTCATGCAAACAAAAGTTTTTAAAATGATTTCTCTTGAATAACTATTTCATTTATCGTTTTTAGTTATTTGTGTCTTTTTTTTATCGGTTTCTTTGTGGTAAATGATTTTATGAATTTGTTTTTTTTTTTACCAATTAGTTATGTTTGATTTTGGTCAACCTTCGGAATGGAAGTATTTCTTATCACTAAAATAGGCAAAGTAATATTTTCTCTATGTTGTGCGGATTCTTATAAGTATCCGAATTTTATAAATTCGTTTCAATATTGTTTGCTCTATTTGTATTCATATGAAAAACTATGGCTTTCTTCATTTTTATTTGATTAAACAAATAGATAACATAATAGAGTAAAAATCTCAAAGAAAAACAGCAATTTTTGATGGTTTATTGTATTTGTTGTTAGTTTTTGGTTGATTAAGAAGATCTTGTCCTTTTAAAACCAACTATTTTCAGATTTCTCATTTTTGCTTTTATTCTACTTTAATACACTTCCGAGTATTCTCTATCTACTCTTCGTATTTCGAGAATTAATATATAACTATTAAAGTTGAAAAATCATGACAATTTACACATTATTTTGCTGCTTTTAAAGGATGAATTGGGCCAAAGAAGAAGTGGAAAATCGCTCCTATTTCTCAACTATAGCGCATCCAGTCGATCTAAAAATTTGCCTGCGTTTACAAAAAAAAATCATGTATCTTTGAAGATGCTCTCCAGATTTCGATGTTTTTATTCGTATAGAAGGAGACAAATAGAAATAAAGAAAAAATAGACAACTCATATAGTGTTTAGTATCTGTGAAATAGTTTTTTTTTTATTCCGAGTCTATGACGACTTTTCTTCTACTTATCAAGATCTATTTATCATGAAAGTTGAAAAACTTTCTAATGGAACATTCTGTGAAAATGTAGGATTGAAGAGAAAGGGGTTCCTTTAACACAAGAATTGTAATATTGTTTCCTCTCGCTATGTTTCTTCAACAAAGTTATATATATATATATTTATCTATTTCACCAGATGGGCATCTCGTAATTCGTATCAATCAAAAATTTGGTCCGAGGTTTTCTTTGCTTTGGGACGTACATTGCCAACATTATTCGATAGTTATGCTAATTCAGATGATGCAGAATCTTATTTAACAACGTGTCTTGAACCTTCTATATCATCTGATTATGTTTATGAAATTTCTAAATCATATCAAGGTCAAGTTGATTTATTCAAAATACATGTATCTCAAATATATACAACTATTGAAAAACTTGTATCTCAAAATAGAATTGATCATGCGAGATATTTTATGGATAATGTTCTTATTATTCATTATAATTCAATACCTAATCTTGAAGAATTACTTCATATGTTAATTCATATTTGTTCATTAGTTAATATTGAATCTCGAAGTCTTTTATGTAAAAATTTAATATCATCAATATCCTATGAATTAACAATTAAAAAACCTAATAAACAATTAGCAGGAACTTTTTTCGATTTCGCTCTTGCAATACTTAGTTTACATATTAAAGAAGCTCCTAAGTTTGCTGATCATATTTTATCTATAAGTGAGTTTTATCCATGGAAACAATTAGATAAACAAATAACTCATCTTATACAATCATGTATTATGTATGATAATATTATTGACGATACATTTCCAAGTGAACTCAATCATTTAGAAAATATTTTAAATTTAATTCATGAACGAAGTAAAGTTAATGTAACAATATTACCTGCAACACATGAATCTGCTTTACAAGCTATTTTAAAATGGTCAACAATTATTAATAATGATACTGGTAAACCATATAGTGAACATGTATATCGAATGGGACAAATTATGACAAAATTAATTGATCAACGACAAATAACTGTTGATATATGTAGTAAATTTCTTGAAATAATTCGAAAACACATTGATAATAATGATGCAACTTATGAATTTCATCAACATCATGATGACTTTTTTCAAGTAAGTTTATGTGTGAATAAACATTTTATTATTATCATTTTTATTTTTCTTAGTCTATGGGCAAACTATTAGCTGAATGTATTGTACAATTGAAAACTTTACCATTGACATTACATCAACAAATAGCTTCATTTTTTTTAGTAGCATTCAATTGTCCATTTACTGCTGAAGATGGATCAATGACATTATCACATTCAATTAGTTTAGGTTTATGGTTTAGAATAGGACAATGTATTCAAAATGAAGATGATGCACGTCCTTATGAATCATGTGCTGATCGATTATATCGGTTAGTATATGACGAAAAAGAACAACACTTACATTCATGGTGGCTTACTTTTTGGAGTATTGTTAGTACAAAATATCCAAATATAGTTGTTGATCATATTCCACAATTTCTTGATGAAATCATCGATCGTAAACAATTAACATTATTAGGAATACTTCTTGTAAGTAGAAACTGTCGAGTCTAAAATCTTTGCATTCGACTGACCCGTACTTTGATAATCTGAATGAAATTTTCTAATCGAAATTAGAATAATCGCCTCGAAATTACGAAATACTTTTTCCGATTTTTTTTGTCTTCCGTAACTAGCGCATCATACACTTTTCTCCGACGATAATTATTTGAGAAAATGATTTCAATATTTCTTTTCTCATTACTTGATATGTCAAGCTTATTACAATTAATAGCAGCATGTTATCAAATAGAAGGCTCACACATCTACACTATATCATGATATTGCGAGCAGAAAAAATATGAATTTGTTAATCCGTAATAATGTTTAAATACCTGTTCCCATATAAATTGACGTTTGAAGAAACATTTTTGTATGCAGACGACGCCTGATCAACACTAATTTAATGGTATCTGCGAAGCTTTACTCAGCAAATTGAACTTGTCTGCATACAATACAAGCTCTGAGTTGTCAACAACTATAGCTAGTATTAATTGTAGAAAATATATTGGGTTACTAAATCTGCCATTAAACAGTACTCCAAATCATAAGGTAGCCGAATGACAGGAATATTCTTCCTTCCCTCTAGAGAAAACTTTTAATAATTGGAGAATTTTATACTTCGAGAAGTAATTTCGTATACAGATTCTATGTCTGAGACATTTCTCATTAATCCCAGTCTTTTGTTCAAGTCTCGGAGAATCTTGAAGATTAATCTTTCATTTGGAAATAAATGCTCATTCTCATTCGTTCTATTCGTCAATAAAATTCGAAAAACATAGGTTGTAAAAAAGACCTTTTTGTACATTGATATTTATTAAAGCTTTCGAAATATTTGTAGGCTCTATACAACAAACAACCAGAACCATTTCACGCTCGACTCGATGATCTTATTCGTGCTCTTTTCGATTGTAATGGTGAAAATTTAACACCTCTATCGTCTCTTTTCAGTACTATTGTTAAAGTACATCCTGACTTAATAACATCAAAACATATTGATTTTTTATTTACTTCAATTAAAAATTATATGAATTTATTTGATCAAACAAATTTGATTTTTATAACACTTGGTTATGTAGCCAATGCACAACCACATTTATTCGATAAATATCAAGACGAACTTTTACATTTTGTTATTGAAAAACATAGTTTATTTGTATTTAATTGTTTACAACAATATTTAGTTACATCAACAATTATTAAAGGCGAAAAAACAGCTGATGAATATCTTACTTTATTAATTAATTTAATAAAAAATACAAAAGATATTCCTACTGATTTGAAATCACAAATTTTTCATACATGTCAATTAATTGGAGTAAAATATAAAGAAATTCTTGCAACTAAACGTAATGATTTAATACCATTTGAATCAAATCAATTTTGTAAAATTTTAATTAATTTTATTGATGAAAACAAATTAAGTGAAGAAAATCAAGCAGCTGTTAATCGTACAATTGATGAAATAGCACAAATAGAAAAACGTGTTGTGCATACAGAACATAATGTTCAAAATATAACAAAAGTAGTTAAACGTCAAGAATTAAATGTAAGATTTTCAATTTATTCATTTTATATTTTAAATAGTAACGAGTGGCCCAGAATAAATGAAGGTCTCAGTATTTCGCTAATATCTCTCTCAATTTTCATCGTACAGGGTTGGAGTTTTCTCTAAAAGATGTGCCATTCAATTCTTCATCAAACGCGTATTAAAAGCTTCTCTTAAGATAGATAAGCAGAAAAATTTTGAAATAATACTAAACACGTACAAAACGACCAACTTTCACAGCCATTGTAAAGATAAAATATAGAACCTTTTTTTTGCAGTACCTTAAAAATGAAACAAGTGTGAAGATGCCTTCGAATACTTTGAAGTGTACTCTGTCTGGTCTCGTAGTTCAAAGTTCGTTGAAAACATTTCAAAAATAAAAAAATCTGACTTTTCAAAATTCTATTGAAAATGCCTCAAATCTTACATGTTTTACCAGCTGAATTGAAGAAGAGAATTCGACCTCAACTTCCGTCTGTTAATCTGATACAGTAGTCATTTTCTATCAAAATAAAGAAAACCCGAGCCAAAATGACGCTGTTTTGGCTTAGTTATGCCTCTTTTCGCAGGAGCTTCGAAATTGCAGATTGAAACACCTAAGTTTTCGAAAATCTGAAAAAGAAAATGATCAGTATTTGTCGCAAATATGATCACGAAATTTTCTAATTATAAGCCATCGATAGAGCTTTTCAAGGGCTACAAAATGCTTATTTTCTTTGATTTCAATCGTAACTAGCCAACGAAAACACGAGCAAAAACGGTTTTTCATCATTGAAAGTTGGCCTTTTCGTATGTCTTCAGTACTATTTAAAGCGTTTCCCCCTTAACTGTCTTCAAAAGAGTTCTCGACATGCGTTTTGCCAAGAATAGAGTGGCGCATCTTTTAGAAAAAAATTTAATCTTGTACAATGAAAATTGAGCGAGATATTAGCGAAATACTGAGACCTTCATTTATTCTGGGCCACCCGTTACTATACTACATATTCCTGAGTGAAACTGATAATGAAACGCAACGAATTCTATTGTAATTATCTTGCTATCTTTCACTTCGTAAGAGATGTATTAACATGAACATTCTCAAAAATATCAAACTGCTTTTTTTCTCGCCTGGTTCATCTATAGAAAATAAAATATTTTTTGATTCATTATCATCAAATTAACTCATGTGATAGTCAATGATACATATTAAATATTTTGATTTAAACAAACCTCTTTTAAAAGCATTTGAGGAAGCTTAAAAAATCCTTAATTAATTCAGCAAGCTAACACTATTAATTTCAGAAAAAAATCAATGTTACATTGCGTGTTATTGTTTGATGAATGTCGTATTTAGCAAATTTTTTAAAAATTTTCTAATTAAATAACAAACTTAATATGTAGCGTCTTGGCAATGACTCTACCATTTTCTCAGTAGTGTGAAGACGTCTATTAATTATCAATGATTTCTTTATAATTAAATTAATTGAAAGCGACTAGATGTAAGTGAATGTCTATAGACTAACCATAAACAACGGTATATTTGATTTTTAATTGTATTGAAAATAGTCATAATAAAGTTTCTTCCATTCATTTCAGTCTTGTCTATGATATAAATGCCTGTTTTATAAACTCCTAATCATTTAAAATAAAGAAGATAATTTCAATCCAACTTTATTCGAGATCGGTCGATAGGAATCTTTTATGGAATCTAGCGACATTATACTGATATCCAATAAAGAACAGTGTCAGTTTTTGACTAGTCAATAATAAGATAGTCTGAATAATTTCTCGTTATCTATAGCTGAAATTGTTAGATGACAAAGTAAAGAAGAGTAAAGAAAATTCAGCAAAAAAATTCGTTGTCGCTTTTTTTTAAGTGAATTTCCTGAATGGAAAAATTCAGATCTGATCTTAAGATACATATGCTAAGTCTCCATATATTTGTAGTGTACAACAAATGAACAAAAGCTAATTGAATACAGGCTCGGATATGAAGCTGTCGATCATCAAGTAAATGAATCGATGAATAAGTTGAACGAATATCTCGAAGTTCTCTGTGGAGTACGCGCAAGATTTGCTCATTTCTTAATGGAAACTTCTCAGATTCAACAAAACGATCCATTCTTAATTGGCATAGTCAGAATGATAAATGAAAAAAAATTTATTTATCAAAGAGAAACATCAAATGATTTACATAAAAAGTTAATCGATAAATTGAATCAACTAAAAATAAAATATAAACAATAAATGAATGAAATAGAATCAAATAAAAAACTTGAAGACTTATCTCACATCTACCGGTTAATAAACTTAGTGAATGAAGTATCGATGGTTAAAGTACAATTAGATGCTATTAAAAACTATCAACAATGTATGCCGGAAAATAATCAACATAAGGTTAAAATCAATGAAGCATGATGATATTAGATTAATAATCTATTTATTAAACAATGAATCCTCTTGCATGGTTTTTATTCACATTTAAGTATCATTGATAAAATTCAATTCTTAAAAAATTATCTTGAATAAATTTTTAGCATGTAACTTGAAAATTTCATTTCATTTTCAAATGTATATCTTGGTTATTTAGTTTTAATATATTCGAATTGTTGTGTTTGAGTCAGACATTGAGTAAAAAATATGACTCACTTAGAAACTTCTTTTTTGTGTCATTTCTTCGATAATTGTATCTATCGGATATTTAAATATTGATATTGGATCGAGTTACAGACATATCTGGTACTTCAGTACCATTGTTGAACTGCTAGAAGCAGCAGCATGCTCAGAAACAGATGTCCAATTAGTGAAATGTATCACACATGGAACAATACAGTGGATAGCATAGCTATCAGTGAACTGTTTGACGATGAATCGAACTCAATGACTATAGGCGGTGTGTAATTCAATGGCGACTTTTTCTCTTTCATTGACCCTTGTAACCAGAGCCTCATTGGTTGCGCTCGATCAAAAGATTAGAATGCAATGACCATTAATTTCTGCTATATAGAAAGTGCCCAAAATCAGGTCAAGGTGTAAGTGTGCGTCTCTTAATCACACTATCTCGCCTACATAGATTAAGAACATTCATCTTTCTCAATTATCGCTGATTTCGTTTGCTCCTTGCCAAGTATTGAGCGTCTGATGCCATGAACTCATGCTCGGTCACAGTCGATACTAACATTGATGTCATGGCTTGTTTCGATGATACTTTCTTCTAGACTTTCAGGACAAGAAAAGGAAATAATATCAATTTATTCTTTCATACAGTAGTATTGGGTAGGCATGAGTGAATGTAGCGGAAACAATCGAGCAGGTCTGCTTATTTCATAATAATGCTAAACCAAAATTCACATGTTTCTCATTCATTTTAATTGAAATTCTCCACCATCAACGTCCTACTGGGTATAGAGCAGTTTGGTAGTAACTAATTTTACTGTTTTAATAACAATAACTATATGACTTTTGCTATTCTGAACGGTTTCAAAAAACATTGCAGACGTGTCTCTCAATCATGTCCATGATGTCTTTAAGGTCAAACTCTTGTTTCCCTTTCCAGCATTTGATTTAGTTGCTGATCAACGCCTCGGTGTGCTCGTCTTAAACGCAACATTATTGTTCCTCTCTCTCGTTACCATAAATGCGAAGCAATTCAATATTTCTTCAAAGAAATATTGCACAACTAAATAGAGTTCACGCATACAGTGATGTTTTCTCATTAACAAGAGTTCTTCGCTAACCGCCTGTCTATATACTTTCTTCTTTCATCTTCATTCTTTTCTCGAGAAACAGTTATTGACTACAAAATACGAGAAAACAGTGTTATTCTCTCTTATGATTATTTGAGAAAAATGAACCACTCAAGGAAGCAGACATGTTTGTATTTCACTTGGCGAAAACAAAGTTCAAACCAAATAAATTTTTCCATTGATCAAATGAGACCTATAGAATTAGATGGTTTGCTATTACCCGCTGTACCATAGTGAGACTTCAAAAATGAACTTCTAAATGTTACATCATGATACGACAGATTACTTTAGGACATGAAAAGTAAATAAGAATAGCGACAAAGCAAATTATAGTTATTTCAAAGATTAATCTTCGAAAATTGTTGTACCTGACTAGTATCAAGTCACCATCGTCTAGATACTGTTTCCGATGAGATCTGCGTTACTATCATCTCTGATCATGCACACTTATAAAGTATTCAATGACGAGCAATATTAGCTTAAGCAATCCGAGTCATCACTGGTGCATTTATACCGAGCAAATTCTAGTGAAGCTACTTTTTTTGAATCTAGAAATAATCGTGAAAGAAAATCCATTGTGCCTTCTAAAATATGATCTACTTGGGAAGCAATTCAGAAATCAACACTAACTGAAATTTCCCCGCTTCCTAAAATACATGGAGCGAGACCTCTCCCGAGCTAACCAAAATTGGAGGGGATCCATGGATTTCGGACATGGGGATTTCTCATGAAATATTTCCACGGATAACAGAATACAAGAAAGAAAATTTCACGTCTACTAGATACAATAAAAGTTTTCCGATCTTAAGAAGAAACAGAAAAGTATCTCTATTACTTCATCTTCTCCTCTCACGATAGCCAAGTATGAAGTGTCCATGTTTGACAATATCTTACTCAAATTGTGCTCTCCAGGACAACAATAAAGTCCTGTTAAAGGCATTAATCATAATTTTATCATCTTAAAAGTTTTTCTTCAGCAGATGACATTCGCAAATATGCTATGCGAAATGCATTAAATAAATAACATTCTCTTTCAACGTTCTTTCAGCTGTCTTACTGTTTAGTGTTGTAATAACTATCAAGAATAATAGCGCCAGCGTCTGACTTTTTGCTTATCCAGTTAGGGACATTCTTCAGCGCAACATCCTTGATGCTAAAAAATCTAACAGTTACTGAACATTTCACTGCACTTCCGATAACATTATCATTACATGCATAGGATATATGACTTTCTTTGATTTTTCTCGAAAAAGCAGAAATATTTGAAGATTTAAGCATATGGTGTAGATTGTTATTATGAGCAGTTTCTTTCACAGAATTTTTCTGTCTTCCTCATTACGGTCTTTAATTTGGTTGCCATTTCCCTTCACTACATAGATAGATATGTATTCATTATTCAATAAAAAATATATCGATGAAGAGAGCAAAATATCAACAAGTTCAGACTTATGAAATTCTCCTCTCCAATCTTCCATTTTTTCAATGTAATGTTGCGGACAATGAGCTCTCTGACAAAATCATTTGAATATTTTTTCATAAGCAACTGTATTTGCCATTTTTTCTAAATTAAGTGAAATAGTAAAGAGAACTGACTAGCATCTGACCCATTGCATCTTAAGAATGCTAATCAGAGAATAATTGAAGTACGTTGATTCTTAACTAATGGTATGTTTAGATTCACAGATTATACACCATCGTAGAACACAACATCATTAATTAGTGATCAATGGAAACAATGCCAGTCTCCATCAGGTATGTCTTTTTCGTCTTTAATATCTCAGGTATCTTGCTATTGTTCTGTATAGAACTGGTATAACCAGACGAAAACTACTAATTATCGTTGGTGTGATTACTGGTTTGGTTCTCATAGTCGCAGCGATAGTCTTACCTGTGCTCTTGACTCGAAGTGAAGGATCAGTCTCGAATACAACTGCAGTTTTCTCTGGTATGTATGTATACATGTATCTTGTTGATTTTCCAAATGAAAGAATATCCGCATAGTTGTGTATGATGAAGACACTTTCTCCTCTTTTATGCTGTCTCTTCTATTTAATTAATACACGACTACGAAAAGAAAGAAAAGGAGTATCGGAAGGACAAGAAATAGTATACGACGTTCTTGGACAGGAAGATAAATGTATCTGCATCGATCAATGGCAATCTTTTGAAATCGTATTCAAGTGCACAAATCTACAGCAACATTCATGATTGCGAAAAGGAAATTTTCCAAGGGTCAAAAATTTCACTTGTACATTTTTAGACATTCGGTTTACTTTCAAAAATTCCAGAAGATACCATGGTTCTTGAAAATTTGTAAACTCAAAGCTTTCTCGCAATGAATCATAGACTAGCTGAAATAATTCTGAATATTCTACGAATTTCCTTACTTTGCTTTTTCCTTGTAAAACTGCACATAACTCTCCTTCACATCTCTTCTGATTTACAGTGACGATCGAAAAAAACTTTAAATAGATATTATTGGAAATTCGGCAGAATGTTCTCAGCTTTCATTATGTGGAAAATTCCAAGCAACAATCTGTAATAGAAGAGAAGAGCATTCTCTTAACTTCTTTGCACTGAAAACTATCCTTTCGAAACGCGAGTTATAGAGAGTCAGTTACTCAACATGATCCATACTGAGTTAAAAAATAATGCCATCTGTATATTCTATGTATGTTATGTATAATAATAACCACAGCATCAATCGTATTAACGACAACCATTAACACCACACAGGACAGGGTAGTCTCTACAGATCAGTAGGAGGAGTCAACTGAGAGAAGAGATCAGACCATTGTGCAAAATCTTCTCACTTTATGAATCCTTTGACACATTTTAGTAGCTCATCAATTACTTTCAGTAGTAGCCCTTTCTTTACTGTAGCACCAGCAATGACCACCAGCACTGCAACATCAGCAACGGTCAGTCACACTACCGCTAATGTAACATCGGCAATGATCAGTACCACTACTACTATTGGGACATCGATGAGGATCTACAGCTCTACCAACACAGGAGCATCATCTATGATCACCAGCACTACCATTGCGAATATCCCGCGTGAGTACATATTTTGGTACGACCGAACACTGAATATGTAAAGGTGAAGCAATTTTACTTGATTGTCCTGAAAATTGAAGTAGCTAACCTTCAGGAGCCAATAGAACAATGCGTTAGCTTCTAAGAAGGGTCTCTCGATTTAAACAGAGTGCAAGAAGAAAATAACATATATCAATATGGTTAGATGAGTATTCTAAAAGTTATGTTTCATCAATACTTCAATGATGTGTCAAGTAAAGATCTATCGATTCTATAACTTCCACCCTGTAGTATACAATTTGCATTGTGTGAAACATTCTCATGGTTTGAAAGAAACTGATTAACTTGAAGAAAATGTCACCTTTCGGTTCTTCGATCATATCACTGTAAAAATGAATTTATATGCTGTTCACTAGTTTCAAAAAGATATTCCTAGCATTAGTTTCGTCGCTCAACAAAGATTGAAATTAGACTAACCACTCTTACCAAGCACTGATCGTCCCCTAACATAGGCGAGTTTTCTCTCTAATATATGTTCAATTCAACGTTAATAATGCTCATTGATTCTAGATAACATCTGTCGTAATATGTCATTCAACCAGCAGTTTGCATATAACATTGGAAATATCAGTTTTGGAATTGCTCTCAATGATTTTAATGGCGACAATCGGATGGATATTATTGTTCCCAATTTCTACGAAAACAATATCTATGTTTTACTAGGGGATGGCAATGGAAATTTCTTTTTAGGATCAATTCTCATAACTCGCACAAATCCATATGCAGTCGCTGCCAATGACTTTAATGGAGATAACTGCACCGATATAGCTGTCACTGCCTTGGGTAATAATAGTGTAGGCATTTCACTCGGTTTTGGCGATAGTACTTTCTTTTCACAAAACTCATTTGCAGTTGGCAGTTACCCAGCGACAGTTTCTGTTGAAGATTTTAATGGTGATCGACTCCTTGACTTGTTGGTCGTTAACAATGACGCCAATACTGTCAGTATTCTTCTCGGTTACGGTAATGGCAGTTTCGCACCACAAAAAACTTTTAATACATTCTTCTATCCAACCACAGCTGTCGTAGCTGATTTCAATCATGATAATCGCTTAGACTTCGCTGTCACCAACTATGGCAGTGGTAGTGTGAGTGTTCATCTGGGCTACGGCAATGGTACTTTCCGCACGCGAACATCCTATGCCACCATGACTAATCCGTGGGGACTGGCTGTGGGTGATCTGAATGGTGATCATCACATGGATCTGATCGCATCAAACTGTGAAAATGGTACGATCAGTGTGCTACTCGGTAATGGCAACGGCACCTTCCGAGCAGCTGTCAACTACATAATTGGAAGTTGTGCATATGCAGTCGCGATTGGTGACTTAAATGGCGATACTTACTTGGATGTCGTTGCTGTCGGAAGCTTTTTTAATTATTTTATCATATTTCTTGGTGATGGAAGAGGCTCTTTCTTCGAATGGTGGTCTATTGTTACAGATTACAATCCGACATCATTGGCTCTCTATGATTTCAATAATGATGGTCGGCTTGATGTCGTGACCGTTCATTATACGGGCACTGTATCAGTATTTCTGAACGCATGTTAATGTCTTGGAACTTTTCTTTAACTAAACTCGTAGAGAAGACACTTCACTCAATATAGCTTCACCTAACTATGCTTCATTTGCTTGCTCATTTGTCTTTTTCTCGAAATAAACGGTGAATGATAAAAATCAAAATAGCTCCTTTTGATGAATGAGGTGTGGTGACTGCTCTCCCCTGCACATTGGTAAATTCTTCCAGATAAGAAAGTTGGCATGTGAAGAACGATGTGAAATTCATAATAAAAGATCGAAGTTCTGTGAAAGAACCTTCCATCTTAATCTTTTAACCTTATTTTGTAAAACTCACATATATTCTCGTCGAAATAATAAGTGTAAGCTTTGAGTCGAAGTTTTGTGGCTCTCCTTCCCTCTCAATTGCAGACGTTAACAATGACGATTGAACACACTAAACGATATTAGTAACAAGATTCAAAAGGTTCTCGAACGTTCCAGGACCTTCCTTGAAGTTTAAATGACTGGAATACATTTTTTAAATATTCTAGATAATGCAGTTTCTGATTTTTACATGTGAACGATTAAATGATTCATATCAGGGATTATATTTTGATTTTCCACAACTTTCATATGACCAAAAGAAACGTATGAACTGATTAAACTCTAACTTTTGAGAATAATCAATATCAGCGTTTCTGAGTTCATTCAAATACATAATAAATCGTGAAGACCTGCTGTACATATAACGATTGGATACAACAGGCTTATTTGTTTATTAAATTAATGGTCAGATTAACAATAGTAAATTATGAAATGGAAATGAAAAAAAAAAAGAAAATAAATAACAAACGAATAGCATCAAAACAAATAAAGAAAGAGCGTCAATTAAAAGAAACAAAAAAGGCATAGCATGTACTGACAATCTATTCTCGATGAAACAAAGTTATGGTCTCTTACAGATTGTACACGTTGTTTATCTTGTATTAGTATACTGAAACTAGAGAAGACATGTGTCTTTCACATTTCAGTCCTAAAAGAGCTGTGATTACAAGCTTTTTAGTTGTGAACAATTAACAATAATAGTGTTAAAGCTAAAACAATGACAAACAAAACGAAAAGGGCGTGGGTGTGAATGTGAATGTGGGGTGTGGGTGTGGAGATGTGATGTGCTGAGGTGAGTAGGCGAAGAGAGAAGTAAGATATACACGCTCACTCATCACATGCACCCACGCCCACCCACATCCACAGCACACGTCGCACCCACACCCAACACCGACACCTACACCAACACACACGCACCAAGTATTTGTGGTAGCTATACACACCCAATACCGAGTACTTTCTGTTCCATGTGAATAGAAATAGATATTTCGTTTTGAATCGAAATTTTGAATAAAAATTACCGATCTTTTAAAAAGTATCACAGTGCCACTTGATAAGAATTTAGCGTCGTCGAAAATACCAACTATTTGCGGTAGCTCTACACGCCCCATACCCATCCCTTTAAGAGAAAGCTATTCCTGTTTACTCTTTTTCTGTTTTACAGACTTTGAGAGTCGTCGGAGATCTTAAAAAAAGTAATATTTTGAGAAAAAGACATCTGCTTTTTCTTTTTTTCTTTCTGTTGCTCTAAGTATAGGTCCTGATTTTTCTGTGAAAAATCTGACGATGAAGTTGAGAAAGCTATTTCTCTTTAGTCTTTTTCTATTTTACTGATTTTGATAGCCATCGAAGATCTTAGAAATATAATAGTATGAGAAAAGAACGGATGTGGGTGTGGTTGGGTGTGGGTGCGTCTATGTGAGTGGTTGTGAGTGTCGGTGTCCATAAAAGTCATTTGTTAGTGACACCCAGACCCGTATCTTCACCACCCACACTCACACCCACACCATCTGAGAATTTCGATGTCTGTGTAAAAGAAGTAATGAAGCGACTATGTGCATGTGATGGTCACTTAACACTAGAGAAGAAAGTGTATCATGTGCTATTTGTTTATTTTGAATCATGTCGTAACTGACGTCATTCTTGCGAAATATTCATCTTCAATGAATCATGTTGAGTAATGTTATGATTTTGGCAGGATTTGATTTTTCTCTGTGTGATACAAATATGAAACAAGTTAATCTTATTTCTTTACAATTATTTAGAAAATGAAAATTCAATCTGAACAAACTCTGATTAATGCTTGAAAATTGCAAATGTTCATGAACAATGTGCATCAAAGAAACTTATGTTTTTTCTATATGATAATCGCGTCTCGGTCCGTTTGGCTAAAATTGAAGTGTAGTCTCTGTTCGTGCTAGTTTGAAAGGCGACGTCAATCTCATTGAGACCTGTCTTGGGGTGACTAAGATTCATCCCATGATGTTCCTGTCCTACTGCATCCTTTTCTTACAACGCATCTTCTTTTTCTTTCATTTCCTCTTTTTTATCACATGGATTTTTCCTTCTCTATTCTCTCCTTCATAACATGAGGATATTTTCTCATCTCTTCTTCTAGTCACTTAGAATTCTCCTTCGGCTGTCATCATGCTTATTGGACTATTCTTGTCTTGTTTATCATCATAGGGGCATTCCATGGAGTCCACTCCTGTGTACATGGAACGTAATTACGCAATAAAGAATTATTCCGAACAGTCATTTTTTCTTTTCGATCTACGAAGTTAGCCGTCCCAAAGATTCACTTTCATTCCACAAGACTAGCCACTTTCAAGCGAATTTTTCGATATTGATTGGGATTATCCGAGTTCACTTGAACCTGCTCTACGAATCATCTCGACACTTTAGTGTCGCCGAGTTTGATTCACTCCCGTTTCTTTCGTAAAATGGAAATCATGTTTTTAATACAAAGAGAAAAAAGAATAACAATTTTTCATGAAGGATACCTTATGTAGCATCAAAACAATATTTGATGCTGTTATTTAGCAAGCAAAATTTATTCTGATTTCTCTCCGCACATTCTAAAGTACACAACATATAACTTGAAAAATGAATAGCATCATTGCTATACTGGATTCGTTTAATTGAGCTTTATTGAAACACTTTATGTTATAAATATTCTCTCTGTTATATTTTGTTAATCAACCAATTTACAAGTTTCCATTGTCCTAGGGCCAATAGAAAAAAGTGTACCCATCTGATACCTAAATACATCCTTAGCTACTAGTCACTAGATTTCGAGTTACGTAACTTAAAAGTTATCTTTTATCGTAAAATAACTATATATAGTTATTTTGATTCAATCTTGTTTCATAGGTAATTACATTTGTATATATTCTAACCTCGAACAAAGCTTTTTGATATTGTAAGTAATGCATCTTGTCAATTTCTTAAAGCATATATCATCAATTCCTGTGTGTACGACAAATTTTTGATCGGTAACACAAATGTTAATTTCAATTGAAAAAACGCCGTTTCCGCCACAACAATGACTAAACGAGGTCAGATTGCGTTTCAATGAGACATCGTTTTTCTTTGTTGATAAAATTGTGTTTCATTGTAGTTTTATTTGTCCTCTAGTAATGCATACGAAAACACATATATATGCACGATGGATATTGTTGCTGGCAATAGAATATCGTAATATCTACTGTGATAGATGAACAAGTATTTTCAACTCGAACGTCTGAATTTCACGTGAAATCATCATTATTTTTTCACTGATCGGATTGTTCTACAAGACTACTGTCATTGAAATCTGTTGTAGAAAAAATTGTTGAATTCATTGACAAAAAGCAGAATATCTTTGAAATACAACACATGCGTTATAGTTTGAAGAGGTATTTAATATAAAATACAGATGACCACAACAAATGAAATCTAAATGAAAACACTTGTTTCAGATTTCAGTTTTACAGAGCTTGAGCGTGTCACAATTGCTTTTAGTATTCTGTTCCATAAATTATGATTTATCAAATAATATCTTAATTTCTAAAATCACAGAGACATTGACTTGAGTTGTTCGATTATCATTAAAATCCTAAGTCACTAAACATTCTGCAATAACAAACAAACAAAAAATTTTTCATTTTATCTTTACACATAGATCTGCTTAATTTCATCGGATATGAAATTAGAATAGTACACAACCAATAGCAATTACTATTACAGCAATGTATGACTTATATTAGACCAGTTGTTCACTTTCGATTGCTGATTATCGATATTGTTACTCTGAAAGACCAATGTTAATTACTATTATTAGCCGGCATATTTTCGTTATTGTAAAATGTATTTTATGACAGTTTTATTTTATACTTTGAATACAATTTTTTTTTTACTTTGAAGAAGAAAGAAAAAATAGTTAGATGCACGACACAAGTATAAAATTTTTTGTCTTTGCTTTTTACTGTAATCCTTTCGAAGCTATTATATTATAAGACAAATAAAGTTTTAATATACAAATTATTTTTTATTTGTGGAATTGGAATAATCTACGAGTTGATGAGCAACATGTTGATTATGTTTTACCATATCACGACGTTGAACTCGTGATTTTGATATTTTTGTTGGTAATTGTGCTTGTTTTGGTGCACTCGTTTTTAAGCCATAATGTCCTTCTTTCTCAATAAATTCCTGAATCTTCTCATTACTTAAATGTTCAACTGATAGTTCGTTCCATAAATGAATAAATTCTGGATGAATAGGAAGTTTATAATAATTATCAGTATAAAATAAAACTTCTGTTTTATTGCTTTTTACTTTAACAATGTCACCACTTTCTATTAACCTACTAATCATATTATCGGCTCTTTCTTTTGGTATTGAATCTTGTACATTCTCAACAGTTAGAGCACCTTCACATTTATCATGTCGTGATTTCAAAAGAGTAAGAAGTGAAGATCTTTTTCGAGCATTTAAATTAAATGGTGGCTTATATACGAATCTATGAGTATCATTGATTCTATCAACAGCAATTCTTTCATTTGATAAAAGTGCTTGTGAAGCAAGCCAATGTTTATCAGATGAATTAATTATAAGACCATATTCTTTTATAATTTCATCCAATATTAATCGATCAGTTTGTCCACTAAAAAAACGTTCTTGCAATTTTTCAACAATATTTTTTAATATTAAGAATTGTGCTTGTTTAGAAGTATTTGATGAATGATAATCAGTTCTGAAATCTGGTAATGTTTTTGATCGACCCAATATTGACTTTTTTTGACTTATTTTTTGTGATGATATATTATCAACATTTTGACTTTTTTCAGTTGAGGCAAGCAGCGTTACTGCATCAGCTTTTCGTTTAAGAAATTGTTCGTGTTCTTTAAGTAATGCTGCTGACGGAAATGCCATCATAAAATAAAAAAATTCTCAGCGTACCTGTAATAAACAATTTTTTTTCAATACTGTAGATGATGACATCTATTTTGTCTTTACACAAATCGATAAAATTATCGAAAGAAAAAATATGCAAAGTATTTTAACACATATGACGTCAGCATAATAGCGATGAATCTCATAATAATGGTTACCATCATGTTTTCGAAGGATGTCAATAACAAGATGATAATCTACTGAAAGGGACAATCCGTAAATTAAAGAAAACTGTTGACGTAATCTACGAACTGTTCGAAAGTGTAAAGACACGTATAGTATTGTGTTTTGCATACTGATTGTGAAAGTTACTTATTACATTCTACCAAGAGGTAAATGATCGAATCTGATCAAATACACGTTGCAATGACGAAAATATGTGGGCTTTTGGCAACACTGGCCTGACAGAGCAACAATTCTCATAAAAAAACAATGAAAAAAGTATGATAACAATATAAATTATATTACATGTTCGATGTCTACGTAAAACATGTGAGGAAGAGATTATGTGCATGAGAGACTCACTTAGTATCAGAGAAGAAAGTCTATATTTGTAGAATCACGAGTTGTTTATTTGCTTTGAATCATGTTGTAACTGACGTCATTCTTTCAAATATAGTCATTGTCAATGACTCATGTTAGAAAGAATTCATTGCTCTCTGTTAGATGTAAAGATGGCATGTATATGAAAAATGTGAATAGAAGAAACTTGTGTTAGTTGGTTTAGTTATCGTTTCTCGATTTTTTCCCCTAAGATTACAGTGTAGTATCCGTTCTTGTAGGTTTGAAAGGTGATACTAATTCCACTGAGACCAGAATTTTCTTTTTGAGCGGCGTTGTGGGCATCGTTGGTTATTATCGAAGCTCACTAAACCCGTGCCACAGATAGTCTTAACACTGAATTATCGTCAAGTTCGGTCTACTCCTGTTGTTTTTTTTTCGTGAGTCGAGAATCATATTTTTAACAGAAAAAAGAAAAATGAACAAATATTTTTCATCAGGGACACGTCTATAATATCAGAACAACACTTAGGACTGTTTCTCATCAAGAAAAATTATTCTGATTACTTGCCAGTGTATTAATCCGTACATTCTAAAGTATGAAAGAAGTCAGCGAATACAATGATAACATTATCAATATGCACGGTTCGTTTATTTAATGTTTGCTGAATTCCCGAAGTATTGAGTATTCACTCTGAAATATCTTGCCAAGTTAACTATTGCTACTTACTCATTGTAATACACTAAACAGAAGAAAGTATACTTGTGTACTATATGGCAGAACTGTTATTTATGAGTATTTATATTTAGAGTGCTGTAACTTCATAAGTTTTATCGCATTAAAATCAAAATATATTTAGTTTAATATCATTTAATTTGTGAAATACTTCATATGATGACGAAGCACATGTTGCAGCTTGAATTGAGTACAGAGAAAAAATCATTTGATTTAAATA